GGAATGGTCTTTACTTCTGACCTGGCTGGCCATCTTATACCTCCCTCCAAGAACTTTCATAACTGTTCTGTAGCCAATGTGCCAAGTTGTATTTCTAAGAAATACAAAAAAAAGAGTTGAAGTGGCAAGTTAGGAGGTTGGGGCTGAAGAAACCATGCAAGACAAGAGTTACTAATAATTAATTTCAGTAAAATGACACAAACTGCGTTGGGGTTTTCTGAAAAGATGGACGGCTGATCATCCCAAAGACCTCGTAGTCTGAAAATAACTCTAGGTTCCTTGCTGAGTAAGAATCACCAAAGTGCTCCACTTCTAAGTAGAAAGGAGCTGTGTAACAGATACTTACTGTAGTACATTTGAAATACAGAGTGATTGGTATAATAGATGCTTGTTAATAATATCACATGATTACCATGAAGCTGTGTTTCCTCTAAGTAGCTTTTGCTATTAGTAGACAACTGGTACGGTACATGGCAGGAAAAGGTTTCAGCTGAGCTGAATCTTGGGTATTTTTGGCTCTTAAAGAACCTGGCTGCAGACAGGCATTCACTGATCTGAAGCACTTCATGGCGTATAGTCTACATGTCCAGAAGAAAATTATTTCCGTCCTTTACAGAAGGATTCTACCTGGCATGCTCTGACATTTGTCAGACTAAATATCTCCTGAGCTTCTCGTATGAAAATCAAACTCTGACTGAGAGTTTATCAGTACCTCTGTAGTTGGATTAAATCTTTGTTTTCCCTTTAGAACTGGCGTAATATCGAAACAGAGGACATTCTTTGTTAAATTAGCAATAGAATTGGCAGAAAACCCTACCAGCCACCTCCTTGCATTTAAATAATGAAACAGAGAGCTTGGACATCAGAGATCGCTTTGCATACAGACTTGTACAGGGTAATTCATGTGCACCCTTATGTTCATGATATTTGTTTCTAGGTGAGCCGCCCAGTGACAGAAAAAGCCCCAAATGTCCTGAAGATTGAATGTGATGAATATTGCCTGACACTGTCAGCAAGGTACTGTCTCCAAACTGCCACAGCAGAAGCTACATTCTAGCTAGATCTCCAGATCAGTCTAACCAATATCGTATTCTTGACAAGTGTTCAATTCTTTTTAAACTTGGTTTTGGACTGTGCTATTGTGATAGTGTCGAGTGCTTCATTACACAGGTATGATATCATTATAAATGCAAAGCTCATAAACTGTAACTAATTCAGTTCATTTAACAAGTGAAGATTAGAACTCAGCTCCTGACAACATTTGCAAGAGAGAGGAAAGAAGAAAATCTCTTTTTAAGAAAACTGAATTCTTTCAATTGATCTTTCACATTCTTTTCTTGTAGCTCCAGGAGTATGTTACATCTGTCTTTCACAATTACACTTTTTAGCTCATACCACTAGTATTACAAAATTGTGAGAGAAAATAGAAAGTAATATTGTGCAGTAGATATAAAAGCACTTAGTAGTGCTTAAATAACAAAGCCAAAATTAAACTTGACTGGCAACCTCATGGGACTTTCTATTAAAAAGATCTTCACTATTGTATTTGTGTAGTGTTAGTACTAACTGCAACTGGGAGTCAGCATCCCTACTCTGGGATTATAAACTAATGGCAGAAAGAGATTATAGGTCAGTGTTTGACCAAAGGATAGCAGTGTACTGTATTTTTTTCATGCTTCTAGTCCACAACTATCTCGGAAATTTACCTAGATCTACAGCAGAAAGGTGGATGGATTGATTTTCAGATGTAGATTACTGTAGAAGACATATCCTGGTAGCAATGGTATTAAAATTCTTTAAATAAAAAAAGTCTTCAAAGCTTTAAGTAGTTTTACACGGTAAGTCTCTAACAACAGCATGGCTGGAAGCAGCAGGCTTCCCTTAACTACACAGTGCAGTAAGCAGACAGGGAGGGCACTCTCTTACTCAATCAGAATTTGAAGCTCTTATTTTCCTAGGAACATTTGCAATCTGTGGGCAGTGCTCTGATACCTGTCAAAGCCTTTTTATCTGGTTCCTCTTACAACCAGCAAATGAGAAAGTATCTGAGATTTCCTTAGATCTGCATACTTATCACAGCCTTCAAAATATGCACACAGTACTTCTGAATTACCTGCTGACAATTACAAAAGTGGAAAGTGTTTCTTTGTTGTAGAGGGAAAGTAGCTGCTACATGTGCCCTCTATCCTGGGCAACTGAAGTTGGCATCTGTAGAAGACACCTGGGATGCTCTGCTTTTGCGCTCATGTCAAGTCTGCTTAGTTAGCTCAAACTAAACGTGTGTGACCATCAGAAGCTATATTTCTTTGGTAGTAAATAGAATCAGGGCTGAAGACTGAGGTCACCCTTCTGATAACAGCTGAATTGAAATTGACTCTTACCAGAACACTGGGATAGAGATCCTTTATTTTCCTTGTGCTGCTCGTTCTCTGACCAATCTGCCCTAGGAGCAAACAGGTATTTTCTCCTCTCCCTTTCTGTGCTGGCTGACAGAGCTGATGAGACGCCAGTGGGACAGCATGCTATCCTAACCACAGTGCTGTACTCACCGAAGACAGAAAAGTACTAGAAGACTTCAGGCATCCCTGCAGGCTGCATCTTCTATTGTTTGCACAGCAGTGCTCCTGACCTGTTGTTGACAGAAGGCCAGTTGTTGACAATCACAACCCAAGTGGCTGTGCTTTTACACTTGCAGAAAACAAGGTGAATGTGCACTGTACAAAGGCCGTAAAACTTTGACCAAAGCTCAAAAGTTGGCATAAGTATATGAGAAGGCAGCACTGCAAAGCCTTTGTCTCCCATTGAAAAGCTATGTTCTTACCTTGCATTAAGCTGACAATAGATCTGATTACAGAGCCTTTATGGAGAAAGCTGATACCGTTGTTGCACTGTTGTTTGCATGTCAAAATATGCTTGGACATAGGGGTAACCGTCTAGTGCCATTATGAAACACCAGAGCACTGGGAGAAAGCAGTCGGTATCTCCTCCCTAGGGGAATAATATGGAGCGACAGTGACAAAATCCCATCCCAGTTCAGTTTTTTGTATTCTCTGGCTGCCCCCTGCTGGACAGGAGAGTGCAGTGACAGTGTGACCCTCTATTGGCCTGAGGAAGAGGGTGTGAGGCAGCACAGGGGTAACCCGCAGTGTAGCACAAAAGGGCAGTCACGCTCAGGCTGAAATGTAGCAATGGTGAATCAAAGTCAGAGGTTCTCTGAGCCTCGGAAGTTCAGCATACATTTATCTGAGCTTTCTCATGACCAGTGAAATAGCTAATTGAGAGGCTGCTGTCCAGTGACTTAATTTATCTTTCTCATCAGCAGATCGATGTTGTTCCCACATTTATTAGGTTAATAATCTGTAATTACTGACTGAAGGTGTTTAGTGGAACAGAGGAGAGGTTGAAGGTATGCATTAGATAACAGGCTTTTACTACCAGATTTCCCTCTTGTCTATCTTCATCTCTTCACCAAAGAGCATTTAATTTACGTTACTGTAGGATTTCTGTTTATTTATTTGTTTTGCACTGGAAGGGACTTATTTTGTTTTTCAAATCAGGTCTTAATTTGCAAGAATTAGGAATTCTCAAAGAATTTCCAAGAATGATAGAGGTTGAAGCAGGACTTCCTCTGTTAGTGTTCTGCAGGCTTTGAATGCGTTTCATCTTGAAAATACAGGTATCTCCTTGAGATTTTCTAAAAAGCCTAATTTGATTAGACTTCTGATAGTAATAAGGACTGACTAGCAGTGCGACTCTTGTCAGAGATTATCTCCTGTATCATAGGCCCTTGGCGTGCAGAGGTTAGCAAATATGATTTACTTTTTGGGAATTGCTTTGCAACAAGCCTGTTGAATTTTACAGAAGCTTTATGCTCAGAGTGCAGACGAATGCCAAGTCAAGGATCACTGATCAAATCTAGCATTTCCTAGCTCTCGTTTTTTTAAATTTTTTTAAGATCACAAAAGACAAATTATTCCTAGATATCTTGTTCAGTGGCCTTACTGAGCATAGTGTGTCGAAGCTACAGCTGAACAGCAATTGGCAGTGATGCCACTACTAATTTTTAAAAGCAACTGTAGTAGGTAGCTTTCATGAAAGTGGCTGGTGTAGCTCAGAGATGAGAACACACTGAGATACATCTGTTCCACTGATTGATGCTAGCAACAGCCAGAGCTGTGCACAGTTTTCAAACAAACAGTATGCACGGTTTGAAGTCACGGCATAAAAACCATCTAACATCCATCTAAGACGTGCAGCATGGTTAATGGTTCTAAAAGAGCAAATGCATTTCATAAGTAAAAGGCATTAAGGGCCTTGCTGCTTTTCTAGGATGGCTGGACTAGTAGAGAAGCAGGGTGCTTCACTATTGCATCTAGTGCAAAGGGGGCAGCTTGAGGCCAGATTGGAGAACTGCTAGTCTCCCTGCATATCTGCAACGCAGGGGAATGCAGGATTTGCTTTCCAAATTGCTGTCACAAGAATCACAAGGTTGGAAATGACCTATAAGTCTGTCTTGGTGTCCTGCCAGGAGCATGGAGCTTGTCTGTGATTGAGCTAGAGAAAAACGAAAGCATTCACAACTTTACCATGAGTGATAGATTTCTTATTTCGTAACATGCAGATCATCTAAGCATCTCATACTATGTGCACTACAGAACATAATAACTAGGATGAACACAAAAGAAGAAACGCTTTTGTCTCTGATGTTATCTAGGATTGAGCAGTTCATAGCAAAGTCAGAGACTACTTTGGAGGAAAAAAAAAAAAGAGAGAGAATGTAGTGCCTTCTCAGTCACAGTAATAACTATAGAGGTACACTAATCATCCAGAAAAAGGGCAAGTCAGTTTTGTTCTTGGCATTGAAATTACTGATTCAGTGCATTAGCGAGTAAAAATAAAAGTTCAGAAAGTGAAGCTTTTCTCCTCTGATCCAAAAACTGCTTGTTTTGGTCCCGGATATACATGGTATTAACTGCTTTACTGTATTTCATTCCACAGCTCTTGCTTGGAAAGGGATGACTGGTACAGCTGTATCAGCAGACACATCCCGGACTACAAAGCTCACAATACTTCCACTTTCCACAGCAACGTGGAGGTAAGAGGAAGCTGAATCTTTCATGCTTGAAGGGGAAAGAGAAATAGGAAGGAAAGAAGTTAGAAAATGCTAAAATGCAGAGTTTCTTGGGCAAGATATCCTTAGTAATTCCAGTAAGATCAGAATGCAAGCCTAAATGACAAATCTTATTTACAGTGCATGGCTTTAGAGACCACCTCTGAAATGTTAATCGCAGTCTGCATTCTGTGGTCTTTGCTTAAATACAAGTTCACCTGGAGGAAGACTAGCAAAATTTGTTCCCAAACAGTAACCATCTTTACTGGTCTAAAAATAGATACAAATTCTTATCCTGGTTTTAACTGGAATGGAGTGGATTTTCTTCATATTAGCTGGAATAATGCTACATTTTGGCTTTTAAAGAAAAACGAGCCTATTTTAGTTGTTGCTGAGATGTGCTGCACACAGCCAAGGACATTTCAGCTTCCCCCACTGTACTGTCAGAGGGAACTGGGGGTGCACAAGAAGCTGGGAGAGGACAGAACAGGGACAGCTGACCTAAACCAACCATACTATATGACACTGTGAAATAGCTATAAAGCTGTGGGTGTTTGCTGGGGAGAAGAGAGTCATTGCTTGGGAACTAGCTGGGCATTGTTCAGCAGGTGGTCAGCAATTGCATTGTGCATCATTTGTTTTATATACATCCACACACACGCATATATATACAGAGAGAAAACGGGGATCAGTTTCATACTGACCATGGCTCCATAGGCTTGGATAACAGGCAGGTACATGCACAACTGCAGCCTTGTGAATTCTAAGAAACAGGAATAATAAGTACATTTACTATAGTTGTTCCATATATCCAGATCTACCATGGAAAGCACGGATTATGTTTGGATTCTGTGGGGATAAATTCCTTTTTGTGTGCATCATGTTTTGCACTGGAAAATAAACAAGCTTATACTGATTTTTTGGTACTTTCACTTCTGCATTCTTAAAACTGCCCCAGGTGTAATGAAATAATGAACTAGGCTTCTTTCCTGCTGAAAACTATGGAGCTGGAGTTTTTTAGGGTTAGTATTTCAGAAACTGCCAAGAAAAAGATGACTTTAACTCATGACCTTGTCTGCAATTTGCATATGCAATGAATAAAGTCCTTGCTTCATGTGGAAGGTTGTCAGTGACTGATCAATAACGGATCTATATCCATTGTTATCTGTTTCGACTACCTTTCACAGCACCATATATTGATGGGCATAGACTTTCAGTGCTGAAGCACTTAGAATCTGTGTATCACTGCACCTATATCTTCGAAAAACTGGGTATTCTGGCAGGTGAACTGTAATGACAGAACTGCAGTATTAGGAGGATTGAACGGGTGTACTTTAGGAGTGTAAATACTTCTTGATTTGTCCTTCTTTGATTTTAAGTTACGGGAAAGGCTTGGAATACCCTTGGGTGAGAGGCCTCCTACTTTGGTACCTGTATCCCATGTTATGATGTGCATGAACTGTGGCTGTGACTTCACCCTCACTTTGAGGCGACATCATTGCCACGCCTGTGGGAAGGTAAGAGCTGCACAAGCTCCTCAGGGAGGCTTTATTCACACTACTAAGATGGTGGCTGCCACCGCTCTAATTTCTGCAAGTTTTTTGCAATATCAAGACCAGAATTTGACTTTCCACAGAACCTGTTAATGCACTGCTCTGTTAGGTAGTTAGGTTTCTCATGACTAGTGTGCAACTAAAATCTGTGTGGGATTCTGGTCGCCTTAGATCAGTGTAAATTTACAGTAATTATAGTTCAACCAGTAAATTTACCCTGACTGACAGAGATGTAGCAAAATTATCTGCTCCACTATCCATCCTTCTCTCCTAAACAACTCAGAGGATTTGTTTTATATGTGCATACATATCAATTAAAATTATATTTACATGCAAATCTCCTTTCTGGAGCAGATTGTATGTCGAAACTGTTCAAGAAACAAGTACCCTATGAAGTACCTCAGAGATCAAGCAGCCAAAGTCTGTGACAGCTGCTACATGGAATTGAAGAAAAGAGGTAAAGTTCCTCCATTCTTGGCAAAATTGACAAATATACTGTCTATTTGTATAATGGAGATGCTTTTAGGACCTGCCTGCTATGTTAACCTTTGTGACAGAGGATTTCTCATTTCTACCACAATTCATGTGTATTGAGGTCCCAAAAGTCCCAGACTGTAAGGCAGCTAAAATTGTTTTAGCAAGCTAAGTTCTCTGAGGGTTTCCCTGGCCTTTTGATAAGCCAGTCTAACGGCAAGAAGTGTGAGATGTAAACATTAGAGCTGATAGCTGTTCCCTGTAATTTCTAGTGAATTATCCATTAAAGGAAAACAGTGGCTTTACTGTACCTCATTCTGTCCTTATCCTTGTTGCTTTTACAACAAGGAATGCTGAGATAAAGTGCAGAGCTACTAAGAGCTTTTCTACATAGAAAGTTAATCTGGAAACAGATGGAAGCAGAAATTCCTGACAGTAGAGCTACTGCCTAACTAGAACTCTCTATATTACTATATGAGTCCATGTTCTAATTTAAATACACATTCAAATTGAAGATAAATTGGGGGGAGGAGGAAGGTGAGGGATTTGTATATATAACTGTGGGAAATGGCTCTATATCCAGGTGGAGGCCAGGGACAAGTGTTGTCCCCCAAGGGTCTGTCTTGGGACTGGCGCTCTTCAACATCTTATCAGTGTGACTGCGACAGTGTGACTGAGTGCACTCTCAGCAAGTTTACTGATGACACCATGCTAAGCAGTGCAGTAAATACAGTGGAAGGAAGGGATGCCATCCAAAGGGACCTGGACAAGCTGTATTCTTGCATTGCCACATTTTCTTTCAGACTGCTTTCAAGTAGCTGTAGGTTATTACCAGTACTTGAGGATGCTATGAAATCCAGCCAGCCAACCAAACTTAACAGAGTAATTTGAAGGGAAAGCTGAAATAAAAACCTGCTACAGAGGAGCTGGTTGTTTGTGTGAGCGTGTATCTCTTACCCCTTGTATGACATAGAGCAATTCATCCATTTCTCCCTTCCCTTCTGGATTTTCTTTATCTTCCAGAGCGGCCACTAAGTATGAGCTTTCCTCCAACTTCATCCAGGTGTTCAAGCAGTGCCTTCTCTTCCGTCTTCCACAATATCCATTACTCATCTTTCAAGAAACAGAAAAAGATCCCGTCAGCTCTTACAGAGGTAGGACCAAGGTGGCTAAGAAAGGCAAGAAACTGCTGAGAACTACATGCTGAGATTTCAGCAGCTATGTTTATAATTTGTTCTGCAAGCAGTGGGCTTATACCATGCTCTAGTCATCAGCATGCAATTATTTTTTTCTGTTTTTCACACTAATGTTTCAAACATAAAGTACTCTGAGCTCTGGAGACAGCACAGAAACTTCTTCAGCCCACTAAGAAACCCAAATTACAGCAGTGTGCGTTTCCTCATCAACCTGTACCGTCTCCAGAAAACTGAGACCACCTCCTGGTATCAGCTGGTACAAGGAGGCAGGTCACAGCCTTCGCAAGTACCAACAGAGCATGATTTGCCATTGACTGGTTACTCTTTATGAAATTGATGAGACCCTTATGTCACACAATAGTATTAATCTGTAACTTTTTTTCACTAGCTTTAGCCAGGACCTGGAATGCTTTTATTCTGCTACAGAGCACTGTTGTGTGATACTGCTCAGTCTTCTATCTTGTCAGAAAGGCTAGATTTGAATCTCTGGAATTTTTTTCTAATTCTCAAAATAGGTCTGTGAGAGGGATAACTTTCCTCAGAAATATTATGACTTGATTTCATTAGAGAAATAATCAAGTTATTAACATAAGTTAATATAAAAATATTGCAAAGTCCAAAACATAACCACATCTTAAAGGTGTTCAGACAAAGGACTGGTCCTCCCTTACTGGAAGCATCATTTTTTTCCTATACTACCTCACCCAACAGAAAGAGCTGGCAGGAGGGACGAGTTCACTTTCTCAGAATATAACTGTAAACTTGTTCTCAGTAACAAGGCAATTGTATGTTTTCCACGTGTTACCAGGAACGATGTTTAACATCTTCAAACAGTGGGGAAAAAAAAAAGAACAGAAATAACATAAGCATGATATTACTCTATCCATGTAAACATTCATATCAGGAAGGAAAAGGCCTCTGCTGTCATAAATCCCAATTTCTCCCACTCTCCTTCAGGTGACAGCCTCAGGAGAGGGAGCTACCATCAGTGGTTACCTCGCCAGATGTAAGAGAGGCAAAAGACACTGGAAGAAACGCTGGTTTGTTATCAAAGGCAAAGTCCTCTATACCTACGTCGCAAATGAGGTACTGTGCAATCTAACTTAAAATATTTTCCTGACTGAATTTTATCATTTATGCTCTGCAGTCAACAGAAGTAAATGTGAAAGGTGTAAGTGGCGGCTCTCACAGCCAGCTGCCTCTGAGATCTGGTTCTAATGGACTGGGCCCCTACGCAGTTACTTTTAGCTGAAGGGCTCAGCCGCATCCCTGGGTGGATCTCGGCAACCTTTTTACAAACTCCCCTTCATAATTTGATTTTATTTTTTTTGCTGTTCATGTTGATATATATTGTCAGCCTGAGCCTAGGTATTTGCATACAAAGACTTCAAGGCAATTGCCAGATATTTTTTTTTGTAGATGTAGGGTGGTGCTATAATCTATTTCTGCTGGAGGGAAGAGTCTTGTATGTGTAAATAAGATATACTTATCCTACTAGTATCAACAGGAAAAGATAGGATAGTCTGTGGAGATGAGAATACTGCTTTCTGTATTGACCTGTAAATTCCTCTTCATAGCTGTGGAGGCTGGCTTTGCAGCAGACTTCTAATGTATTTTTTTCTCATCCCAGTCCCTTTTCTCAATTTTATTTCTTCTCCAATTGAGTAGCTGCAGTGCCAGTAAGCTTGAAGGAAATACAGTACAAGGTGTGGTTGTAAATGACAGATTTTGTAAGCAGAAGCATAAAAAATGATTTTGCTGGATACAGAATGCTAGAACTGTAGTAACAGCAATATTTAATATTTTAAGTGTTCAGAACACTTTGAAAATATCAATCACTTAAATTCAGTGTGAGGAATGAAGCATCATTAATTAGCCCTCTGAAAAAGATGAGGAGATTGAGACACATAAGTGTTCATGGTCTGGCCATCATTGAAAACTCAACAGCTTTCTTCAGTAGTGTGATGTATAGTTTGTTACCTCCTTAGTTTTTCTACCTGATTTGTTTCCTCTTAGGCTACATAATCTTGAACTTGACTTTTTTCCAAGGTCCTGCAGCCTCTCAGCAATTCCAACTGTTAGCATCCAGTTTTGTGTTCAGTACACTTATCTGCCCTAATCTTAGAAGCGATCACTTTTTGTTTGGTGATAGGGAAAGAGTGACGGATGGCAAGTTACACTTCTTATTCCCAGCTTACAACTGAGCTTCTAAGAGCAGAAGCAAAAGCAACATACACATATAAAAACATTACAGTGACTACAGTTGCAGCTTTCAGTGAAGCTGAAACTCAGTTTGATTATTACTTATTGTTTCTTTAACTTATATAAAGCAGATTTTGGCAAAACAAAAACCGCAGCTGTATACTGGGGGAAAGTTAATGCTGAACTGTGTAACCAGTCCCAAGATTTTGAAGCAGTGTTGTTCAAAGTGAGCATGCTATCTGATGCACAGATTTTTAAAACAAAGTTGCTAGTGCTATAAAAGGAAATTAGAAGGTACAAAGCAGACTACTACTTGCATTCAGCAAACAAAAATAGCTTGAAGTAACACACCTGAGACTGAGCCCCATTTCAAGCTTTCACGAGCGCTGCTGCACTTTCCCACACTGCCAGTAAGCTCATTGGTTGCTTCCTGGACCATGATGTCACAGTAGTCATTCAAGTAATGGGTAATTTGACCTTTTGGATGGCCATGAGTAACTGGATTTTTAGAGGTGCTGCTAAGGTTGAAGGCTATATGAACATGTGCAGTACTGGCACTGCTCCTGTTTAAGAGTCACCGGTTCAGCAGAAGATTCATTTTACTACTTTTGCAGCACAGACAGTGTTTGCATATGATTGTTTTTCAGAAAGAGCCCTTAAACTGAAATGGGCTTCTCTCTCATTTTTGGTTCGCTTCTTCTCGCTTTCAGGACAAAGTCGCCACAGAAAGTTTGCCTTTGTTGGGTTTCACTGTTGCCCCAGAAAAAGAGGAAGGATGCGTGGGTACAGTTTTCCATCTCTATCACAAGCAAACTCTGTTTTATAGCTTCCGAGCAGATGATAACTGTTCAGCACAGAGGTAAGGGAATAGATGTCCGTGCTAGTGAGCATATAGGTCCAAAAGCTTATGTAAGGTTTTTCCTCCTTTGCTTCAGATTCCTACCCTAACAGAGGAGAACAAATGGCTTTCAGAGTGTTGGCTAAGCCCAATTGCATGCAACTGCCCTTGGTGATGGAAAGTCTACCTTTTTTCACTCCTCTGTTTAGGTAGAAAGAAGGCTGAGCCTCAAGAATCATAGTCTTCCAGTCAAATATGATTTTTGTATGGGAGCTTCCCCAATTTATATTCTATTTATCCACTTCTTAGTTTTGTCGTCAACAAATAATTGTTCAGATTTTGCATTTATTGCTACTCTACTACATAATAAAATAATCATGAAACTTGTAATAAAAATGCTAGTGCCTTAAGGCACATGGGAAGAAAATTTGTATTTATGGGAGGTTTTGTTTCTTTTAAACATAATTAATCATTTCATATTTCATATTCTAATTACAAAACTACAGCTACAGTCCTCTTCAGGCTTTATGTTCTTAAAATACGCATTTTTGAAAGAAATAATTTTACATGTACCACCCTTTCTTTCCTGCCCTTTTTAGGTGGGTTGAAGCCATGGAAGAAGCATCCATATTATAGCAGCTATCACTCAAGAGACTTAGAACACTAATTTTCAGATTTCTATACAATCCAAGCAATCTTCTTATGTCTTACAAAACTGAACGGTGTATTTCAGGCAAACTGGCTACAAACACTGGATATGAACTATTTCCAGATTGCTGTCTGCTTCCTTCCTCCTCTTCCTCTTACTTCCCTCCCACCCCCAAAAAAACCCTTTAAAATAGGGAATGTTTGTGGTTACCCTCTATGCCTGTCCAAGCTCAGCCTGTGCTGTAAGCTTCTCCTATGATCCCATGGTAAGCTAAATTTAACATTAAGGAAAGAAAAAGCCATGGAAGTATAGCCTACAGTAAGCAGCAGGGTCACTTTTACTTACTGTAGAGCGCTGTCGTATTTCACTGGGTTGGTTTTGGAGTCTACCATGGAATTTGAAACAATGTAGTAAACAACAAATACTCATTTAAAGCACTTTATTATTTTCATTCGACTACAGTTTAATCTTCTCGTATTTCCATGGAGTTTGGTGGACTGATTTATTATTCATCCATTAACAAATGCCAGCATGAAATTATGCCATGCACATGCTGAATTGTTTCTGCAGAAAAGGAATGAACCAAAATGCTCCATTTACCCAGTCTACCACCATTGCACTAGCTGTGATCCAGGATAATTACCTACTATCCATCTATAATTCGACACAAATCACTGTATAACTTATTTTAAACTGTTTGCTTTCATATCGCCACAGTATTTTGAAATGCACTATAGTTGCTCTGCAGTCCAGACGTTGATGTCACCCTGAATACCGTGTCAGATTCAAACCCAAAGGATATTTTAATTTATTATAAACCCACAGACAACTTTTATTTAACACTAATCTACCTATCAGTGTTAAGATTTGTATCATTTATTTAAATATTCTATCTCTATTATCAGTCCTCCTGATGTTTCTGCTGTTGTTATGAAAAATGTCATCGAAACTTTAATTCATATTCATTTTTAAAGTGAATCATTTGCAATATGCTGGTGGGGTGAAATGCACTTGTCTGAATCCTCTCTGATAAAAGTGCTTTGGAACTCCTCTGGCTAAATGAATCTTGCTGCACCGCCAGGGCTGGAGTTCCAGCCAGTTTGGCTTCAGATGTGTGCTGCATTTACACTAGCTGAAGATGTCCAAGTTTTGATTTCTGTTCCTTTCTTTTTTGTTTGGTTTG